CACATACCACTTACCTGATGAGCATAGGGAGGGTCACCTGACCACCCCTGCACCAGATTCCCCCAGCTCTGCTGTGCCCAGCCTGCCCTGCCACCTAAACCTGCAGACCCTCTGTGTGTGTCCTGACCTGGCTGTGCTGGGAAGGGTTTCCCCTGAGGTGCTGTGTCTGTTTCCTCCCCAGGTTGCTGCAGTGACAGACTATGGGGCGTTTATAAAGATCCCAGGCTGCAGGAGACAAGGTTTGGTCAGTTTTGTGTTGTTGTGTCTGAGCCACTCACCCTAAGAATGAATCTGCTGCTAGCTTTCAGAAAAAGCTCAGAAAGGGTGGGTTATTTTGGTCTAAATTGGGGTGCTCTGAAGGCATTTAGAATGTGATGATGTGTTTGAAGGAAGATGGAAAAGTCTCAAAAGGTTTTTTGTTAACTTCAGGCTATTTTGAAGAGTCCTTGGGCAGGAGTGTGGCTGGTGCGCTGCCCATCAGGTCTGGGGGCAGGAGGGGGCCTGCTGAGCTGCCAATGAGACATCAGCTCAGGCAGCTGCTGGATTTATCCTGCTGGGGTTTATCCAGCCCATGGGTCCTGCAGGCAAGTCATGGAGTCCTTACAGCTGGGAAAGGCCTCTGAGATCAGCCCAGCACCACCACGAGCACCAAACCATGGCCCCAAGTGCCACATCCACATGGGTTTGGAATCCCTCCAGGGATGAGGACTCAGCACCTCCCTGGGCCAGTGTCTGACCCCTCTGGCAAGGAAACAAATTCTGATCTCTGATGGAAACCTCCCCTGGCACAGCTCCAGAAAGAAGTCTGGGGTTTATGTTGAAAGAGCAGGACTTCAGCATTGATCTCCTCTCTCAAGGAACAAGAGGAAACAGCCTCAAGTTGCCCCAGGGGAGGTTGAGGTTGGCCCTGAGGAACAATTCCTTCCCCTGGAGGGTTGCCCAGGGCAGTGGTGGAGTCCCCAGGGGGCAGTGGGGACCTGGCAGTGCTGGGGAAGGGTTGGGCTCCAGGATCTGGAGGGTCTCTCCCAGTGGAAGGGATTCTGTGAAGAGCTGTGTTGCTGGTGCCTGAATCAGGCTCTTTATTCCCTGGGGGCTGGGCTGGCCCCTGCCTGCCTCTGGCTCACCTGCTATTGGAAGCACAAAGACTCTGCTTCTGGGCCTTGCTTCTCTGAGCTGATTGGGGGCAGATTTTGGTGAAGCTTTTCTGTGTTTGATGGGTGCCAGGAGCTGGTTCTCACCTGCTGGAGGACAGAAAGGATCCCCTTGGATCTGGGGGGCTGCAGGGTCTGGGGCCTGTCTCCCAGAGCAGTCCTCTCCCAATGGGCTGGATTGTTCCTATTCACTTAAAATTATAAATAGATATAAAAATCCTATCAATTATATATAAATGATATAAAATGCTGGATATTTATATATCAATTTTTGAGCCCCCCCTAATATGTGCATATTTATTTACAACCAGCTCTGTGCTAATGTTACACACATTGCACACACTCAACCCCAGAAACTCTTCAAGGATGAGCTGAAGATGAAATAAGATGAAATTAATATTAAAAGTCCATTTATGAATGGTACAAACCCCTCTCCTTCCCCACACCCCACAGGAGTGTCTGGTATCCACCCTGCTTTGGAGCCTGCTGGGCAAAACTGGGATCCAGTGGGGACTTGTCTTTAGTTTTGTCCCTTTTCTTCTCTTCCAAACCCCCCCCCCCCAGGCCTTGTCCACAGGACCCACATGTCCTCCTGCCGTGTGGATAAACCCTCAGAGATAGTGGATGTTGGAGACAAAGTCTGGGTGAAGCTTATTGGGAAAGAGGTAAGGTTAATTCTTCTCTCCTCAGAGCTCTCTGGGGGAAAATAGGCTGAAAAACCACCAAGAGCTTCAGCAGCCAGGGGCTGTGTGTGTTCCCAGCACCTCATCCAGCTCCACCTCTGCTCTGCAGGCAGGAGAATTCTCTTCACCTCCAGATGTGACCCTGGGCATGACACTGCTGTGATTTGCCCCAGTGCAGTGCAGGCAGAGGGATTGGGTAAAAGCTTTTGGTTTAAAAGCCACAGAATGTTTTCCTTTGTGACCCTGGGCATGACACTGCTGTGACTTGCCCCACTGCAGTGCAGGCAGAGGGGTTGGGTTAAAAGCTTTGGGTTTAAAAGCCACAGAATGTTTTCCTCTCTTCCCCTGCACTGGTTGTGTCCCCTTCAGGGGGTGGGTTGGTTGGGATCAGGGTGGAAATGTTCAGCTCAGAGCTGTGCAGGATTTGGCCATTAATGCTTTGCAGGGATAATGAGGTGGGTGTAGAAAACAAGGACTTAATTTGGTGTGAGAGAAGAGAAATGGGTTGAGAAACTTGCTCTTATTTACACAACATAGAAAAACTGTGTGAAAGACTTCACAGATTGGTTTTCCCATCTTTTTTATTGCTTTATTTTTTGTGAAGCTGCTTTTCTCTAGGCCTCTAGACATGATGATTAACTCCACTCTCCTTTCCTCCCCTCCTCCCATGCCTGCCTCTCCCAGATGAAGGATGACAAGCTGAAGCTGTCCCTCTCCATGAAGGTTGTTAACCAAGGCACAGGAAAAGACCTGGATCCAAACAATGTTTCCCTTGAGTAGGTAAATCTCCTGGGCAGGACAGGGCAGTGCTGGGGCTTTTGCTGTGTGCTCCTGGCTTTCCTGCTGGGCTGCTGCTTGAGGTTTCCCCCCTCCTTTGGAGGGTGAGGGCTCAGGGATGGGCTGGCTGGAGGGGCTGGAGGAGCTGGGAGGGCTGGCTGGAGGTGGTGAAGGGCTGGCTGGAGGGGCTGGAGGTGCTGGAGGGCTGGCTGCAGGCACTGGAGCTGCTGGAGGTGCTGAAGGTCTGTCTAGAGGCACTGGAGGTGCTGGGAGGGCTGGATGGAGGCACTGGAGATCTGGCTGGAGCTGCTGGAGGGCTGGCTGGAGGTGCTGGAGATCTGGCTGGAGGTGCTGGAGCTGCTGGAGGGCTGGCTGCAGGCACTGGAGCTGCTGGAGGTGCTGAAGGTCTGTTTGGAGTGCGGGGGATCGGGCTGTAGCTGCTGGAGGGCTGGCTGGAGGTGCTGGAGATCAGGCTGGAGCTGCTGGAGGGCTGGCTGCAGGCACTGCCTTGGCTCTGCTGCCTGGAGGTGGGCAGGAACTGCAGGAGGGTGCCAGGAATTCCAGCCCCTCACACCCCAGCAGGGTTTTCATTCCTGTGTCATTCATGGGCTTGTGCTGGAAGGACCCTTGGTCCCAGATGAGCATTTGTCTCACTTCCCCCTGCTGCTCAGCCAAACCTGAACCACTGGGAGCCTTCAGAGCTTCCTTGTCTACCCTTTTTTCTTTGCAATGCTTCTTGCAGGTTGAATGAAATAATTTTCACTTCAGTGCAGGTGTTAAGGGATGGGATCACAGCTCCCCACGTTCATCTGCCTCCTGTGGGGTGCTCAGCTGTCCCCAGAGCAGGGGGTGACAGTAACCAGGCTGTTCACAACGTGGTTTGTCCCAACAAGTGGTGGGTGGATGGTGCTGATGCAAATCCAGAGGCTGAGAATGGTTTGAAACTGGGACTGTTCTTCTCTTCCCAGTCAGGATGAGAGGAGGAAACGCACCTTCCGAGACTCCACCAGCCAGAAGATCACCCTGGAGGCTGTTTTGAACACAGTGTGCAAGAAGTGTGGCTGCAAAGGTGTGTGCAGGTCTTGTTAAAGGCTGTGGGCTTGTCCTGCCCCAGGCAGTGAGCTGCAGGTGGGGCTGTGGCAGCAGCTGACTCCTGGCTGTCTGGGAGGGATGGACTTTGCTTCCACCTGTCTTCTAGAGGAGAAACATTTTCTGTCACCTGTAATGAAAGGGAAGACAGAATCCCAGCATGGTTTGGGTGGGAAGGGACCTTTAAAGGTCACCTGGTCCAACCCCCTGCAGGGACAGGGACATCCCCAGCTAGAGATCACTCAGAGCCCTGTCCAACCTCCCCTGGGATGGTTCCAGGGATGGGGCAGTGACCACCTCTCTGGGCAGCCTGGGCCAGGGGCTCACCACCCTCAATGTCCAAAATTTCTCCCTTCTCTCTAGTCTAAATCTTCTTTTAGTTTAGAAAGGACCTTAAAGTTCCAGCTCCAGCATCAGGAGGGACATCTTCCACTAGAGCAGGTTGCTCAAAGCCCCACCCAAGCTGGCCTGGAACACTCCCAGACTTAGCTGAACACCTTTTATAAAGTTTGTTTCCTAAAATCACACCCCTTTCAGCCTCCTGGAAAGAACTTTCCTACCAAGAACAAGCTCAGTACCAGTTCCCTGTTTGCAGTTTTGGTGTTGATCTGTCTTACACCTGAGGCCTTGTCCCAGTTTCACATTTGAGAGCTAAACTTGTGCCTTCAGCAGCTCACCTCGTTCTGAGGAATTCTGAACTCTGCCTGTAAGATGCAGGCAGGCATTGTCTGCACTTCCCACCACAGCTGTTAGAGGTCACCTTGGGTGTCTCTGGAGTGGAAAGGGCAGAACCAGAGTGAGCCACTGTCCACTGAGTTTTCCTCTGCCTTTGTGGCTTCGGTCTCATTTGGTCCTAAGGGATGTTCCCCAGGGCTCAGTTTTGGGGCCAGGCTTCTGTAATCTCTGGATCAGCTATCTGGACCAGGAGATCATGAGATGGAGTGGGGGTGTGGATGTGCTGGAGGGCAGGGGGC